AGGCGAGACAAATTCTAGACGTCTCGCATATCCCCAGTCCATCTATAAACGATGCCCAAGGGAGGTCTCTGGGGAAGGGGCGTAGGTAAGCATATACTGAAGCAGCGATGCCAGCAGTTGTGAAAGTAGAGACCTCGGGGAGCCTCTCGGAGCCATCATGGGGCAACTTTGGAAGCCTTACGGGCTCTCTGGGAGCCCATTTTGGGCCCTCTTGGCCCCCTTGGGGCCATGTTTGGGGCCATCGATCAAAGAAGGTGGCGGCGCTTATGTCAGGGGGCGCTCTTGGGCGCTCTTGGGGCCGTCTTGTGCCCCTCTTAGGTCCCTCTTGGGACTCTCTTCGGCTATCTTGGAGCCATCTTGAGGCCTCAGAAGCCCATCAGAGTCGAAAAGGCGAGACGCCACACACAATTGATTCCCCTTTGGTTTCGGTTGGATTTTGGCCTCTCGGGGTATCCTGGAGAGTCCACTTGGAGTCTTCTCTGGACGGTCGTGACGCCTCTTGGAGGCATGTTGGAGGCTATCTTGAGCTTTCTTGGGGTATTATGTGCCTTTCTGGGATCCTCTTGATGCAACCTTGGGCCTTCTTGGACGCTCTAACTCCTCGCGACCTCTCTCCCCCTCCAGACCCATGGAAACGGGGATGGGGGGAGAGGTACACCCCTCCCCGAGGGGGAACACGGTGGTTGGAAACACTAACTCCCCCGACCAGCTGCGCCCAGAGGGCTGTCGGTGTCAGATCGTTCCTCGCGTAACAACCTTCGACTGTTTTTCAGGGCGTTCGCGACGTCCAGAGTTCCCCGGGTCCGCCTTCCAGGGCCCTCCTCGCCGCCACGGCCGGACCCGCCCCGCGATCCTGGTCACCGCGCGCTCCCAGGAGAGAGGTTCGGGCGGCACGCTTGGGGGGAGGCCCGCCCCTTCTGCGGCCCTCCCACTCCCGCCGTCTCTCTCCGGGAGGCCTCCTGCGACCGCTGCCGCTGGCCCCTCTGCCCCGCGCATCCAGGGATCCCCGGCCTCTTTCTGTTCTTCGCCCTCCTGGCCGCCCAAGGGGCCTCCCCTCTCTTAGTGATCTCTTTTCGATCCCCTGGGGCTACACGGGGTCCATCTGCGGTCCTCTCGCGCCAATGTCTGGGCCTCCGTGCTTCTCTTTTGGAGCCTCCTGGAGCCGCCTGGAGCCCCCTCAGGGCGCTCTTGGAGTTCTATTTGGCCCTCTCATTTGAGGTCAGTTCGGGCAACGGTGCAACATATTCTCGTCCTAGGAGCGTGGCTCCAGCGTAATTCCCTCATAGCGTTCAATCGAGAGAATTCTACAAGTGGCAGACAAACCCGCACAGAAGACCCACAGGGGACGGGGAGCCTCAAGAGACTTTCGCCGCCGGCTTCCTGGAATCGCCGTTTCGTTTGAGATTCCTCGCGCTTCAGGAATCGTGCTCTCGCCCCAATGCCGGCTACATTTTCGGTCCTGACGGCCACGATGCCTTGTAGCAGACGCATTACGGTGCACATGGCCGTGCTTCCAACCCTGTCACGACCAACATCTTTTTTGGTTGCAATGCGCTACGGTGCATCTGGCCGTGCTCCCAGCTTTGTCATGCGGCCACAGTTGTTATGGTAAAAGTGCACTACGGTGCTCATGGTCGTGCTCTCAGCCCTGTCACACGGCCACGGTTCTTGTTAACAAATGCGCTACGGTGCTCATGGCCGTGCTCGAACCTTTGTCACACGGCCACGATCCCTGGTGACAGACTACGGTGCAAATGGCTGCGTCCTCAGCCCTGTCACACGGCCGCGACCTGTTGTAACAAATACGCTACGGCACACTTGGCCGTGCTCTCACTCCTGTCACACGGCCACGCTCCCCGATACAAAAAACACCACGGTGCACATGGCCGTGCCCTCATCCTCCTCAGCCTTGGGCCACGATCCTTTGTAACAATTGCGCTACGGTGCACATGGCCTTGCTCTCATCCTTGTCACGCCTTGGAATCTTGAGGAATATATAGAAATGCACTTTTTTACCAACCGACCTCCTACTCCTCGACCCGCCTCTTCACCTTTGCTGCTACTAGGGTGGTTTACTGGGGTGTTTTTTTTGCCCTGGGAGCGGGGATCCAGCGTAATCTACATCGGATGGTGGCCATGGGTGCGTGGTTTCAGTGTAGTTTGCAAGGGATCGTGGCCCTGGGAGCACGGATCAAGTGTGTTTTGCAAATCTTCGACTGAGACCAGGGACCGTCAGACACCCCCCTATCGGGTGGCGGTGGCCACCTTTTCAGGGCCAGGGGGAGAGTTACAAAGGGGGGCCGACATCACAAAAGTCAATACCAAGGCCCTTGCAGCGTGACTGTTCACAGGGAGGCCTCAGCGGGGAGCTGGCGGACCTATTCCAGTGCAGTCCAAGGCTTGCCACCATGGAGTGGCCCTTGAGTTGATCGTAAGACTACACCAGCGACGCTGCACCATCGTGCAGCATTCCTACCCGCTTTCGACCTCAGCAGTCCGCATGCGGGCATGGAGCGCGCACAACCGCGGAGGCGGTGGCAGTTATGGTGGCAGTGGCTCGGGCTCGGCGTCCTCGGGGAACTCGCACGAGTGGAAGAAGGACCCGTCGGGCCGCTGGCACTACATCGGGATGCCGCTGCCCTCATCGGCCCAGCCCCCCAGGGCCCACCGCCTATGGACATGCAAGGGCTGCGGCAGCACGAACCACACTCGGACCGCGTGTGGCACGTGCGGCATGAAACGGACGTACTCGGAGGTGGCGTCGACACCCACCACCATGCCAGCTGCAGACCGTGCCTCGCCGACGTCCAGCAACCCGGTGGCGAAACAGTTGGCCTCGGTGGCGGCGGCTCTTGCGGCAACCACTCCAACGACTGCACCACCAGCGCCAGTGCACGCCGCGCCCCCAGCCCAGCCAGCGGAGCCAACGCCAGCCGACGCTACTCCCCAGCCGTCGACACCTCCGCCCACTCGGGCCGTGCTGTTGGCGGACATCCGGCAGCTGGAGACAGGCTTAGCCTCCATGACGTCTCCTCTGATGACATCAGCCAAAGCCGAGCTGGAGGAGCGCTTGGCGGAGAAGCGCTCCGAGCTACACGCGCTGCGGCCCATTGGCCAGCGCCTCGACAGCACATGAGCTGCCCTCGAGCGCTCTCGGAAGAGGCGCGAGCAGGCCGAGCAGGCATTTTCGCTGGCTCAGACAGCGTTAACGGCAGCAGTCGAGGAGGAGAAGAACCTGACCACGCAGCTGACGGAACTCGAAGCATCAGTCGGAGCCGGGGCACCGACTCCCGAACTGTGCATGGCCGCGTTGGGCGAACAGCTCAAGGCCGCGGTCCAGCAGATCCGCTCGTTCGACAACGTTGACCCCTCGGTTGGCGAGGAGGCGCAGCGCGAGTGGGAGACGCTCTTCCAGGCGACACTCCAGGCTGCCGAGGCCGCCATGCAGACTGCCAGGGCCAACATCCCCAAGAGGCTCAATGGCAAGCAACCCTCTCAGCACCCCCGGGAAGACCCGCCGAAGCCCTTGGATCGCCGATTCAACGAGAAGCAGAAAGTCCAGACCCACCTCGATGCGTGGTTCACCCCCAAGAGGCCGATTGCGCCGCCAGCTGCCCCACTGCAGCAGGCGTCGACGCCAGCCACCTCTGCGGTACTACCATCGCGCCCGGCGCCCTCCCTACGTTGGCCTCCCGCCTCCCCTTGCTGAGCGCTGGCAGCACGCGCGCCCAGTCAGGCGCTGCCCACCGCCGCGTGATTGAGGAGACCGAGGACACTGTGCAGATCGGCGATTCCGACGTCTCCATGTACAACACTGTGCGGCGCTGCGCCCATGCAGGTTGGGCGCCTCAGCCTCGAGATTGGTCTACGTGGGGGGGCGCTGACGAACGCGGCGTCGACGCCGCCACGACGACGCCGCAGCCGCGGCCGCCGCCGTTACGACGCGACGCCGTCGCCGTTGCGACACCGACACCGCCGCTGACGTCCTCGCGACAGTGCGGCGCCAACGCCGCACCGCCGCCGCCGTTGCGACAGCTCGGCGCTGGCGCCACTGCGACGACGATGCCGCTGTGGACGACCCCCCCCAGCAGATGGGGTGCGGGCCCTTGCCCAGTGGGACTGCCACTCCCGCAGCCCAGCTGCATCTCGACTTCCGCGCCTGGAACGCCATCGCACTCGAGCTACACGGTGGGCCTCTCATCGCCGTCAGCTCGATGGCCCTGCTCGCCGCCCCCTCGCTGGCTACGTGGGCCGAGGCCGCGCTGCTCGTCCGCGACTTGGGGCCCTGGTCTCGGACGGCGCCCCTGTCGCCACCTGAAGGGTGTCGACCGCGAACGTGCAGACGCTCCACCCCCACCAGAAGGGTTGCAGCTACTACCGAACATCCCTGATCGTCATGAACAGCAAGGTATAGATCCTTGAACAACAACTTCGGCAGTCTGGCTTCGCGGCGATCGGCCTCCAGGAGGGTCGCGCACGCCATGCAGAGAGACGGGGGGGTGTCCACTTCGCGATGTTCACTTCTCCCGCCACGAGTGACGGAGCCCTCGGGGTTCAGCTTTGGCTTGATCGTGAATTGGGCCATCCTGTCGTTCAATGGCGTGCTCGCTCACCTCGCCTGCTGTTCGCGGTCAGTGTCTCCCGCGACTGCGCCGTGCACGTGTGGTTCTCCGAACGCGCCCCCACCTCCTGCGCAGGCGTGGACGAGCGCCTCGAGTTTGGGACGGACCTTTCTTCAACCGCTGTCGACCTCAGGGCACGGTTCCCCGACGCCTGCTGGTCCGTCGCCGTCGATGCGAACGCTTGGGTTTGAAAAGGTGCCGTCGGAAGCGTTCGGGCCCGCCTGCCCTGGCCGCGAGAACGAGAACGGCGCGTCATTGCGCATCTTCGCAGAGACACTGCGCCTCGTCGCCCTCGAAGCCTTCTCCGGGGCCAAGCCCGCGTGGCACCGGGCCGCGAGCACAGCCCATCGGATTGATTAATTATATCCTCGTCCGGGGAGGCCGCCAGACATGGGCCTCCGACGTCAGTGTGCGCGCTGATATGGACTTGACCTTCACTGGGCGGCGCGACCATAGTGCCGTCTCGGCCGTTTTTGCCGTGCGACAGTCCGATATGGGTTTCGCGCCCCGCCCGCCTCCTCTTGGCGACGTGGCCCCAGTCCAGAACTTTCCGAAACGTCTGCTCGAAGCACTTGTTCCTTGCGAGCCGCGTGTCGACGAGCGGCTCGCCCAGGTGAGCTCCATTATGAAGGGGGCCGATTTAGATGTTTGGTCTGGCCCGGTCCCTGCCGCGCAAGCCATGGTTCTCACAGACCACGTGGGACATAGTTCAGCTCGTCGCGCCCCTTCGACGGCGCGCTCATCAGGCCGCTCGCCGCCGGTTTGCCTGGTTCCAACGAGCTTGCTTTGACTCGTGGCTTGCAGCGTTGCCCGTGGGGGGGCTCAGGCGCGCGCAGCGATCGCCCGCGCCTCTCGTGTCGCAGTCCACTTTCTTCGCGCCGGGCGCGGCGGTGGACTTGGTCAACGCCCGCGCGCGTGCGCAGAAACGCGATTCCTCCTCCTGCGCCGCGATCTTGCACATGCAGAAAAGCAGAAAGGCGTTCGCGAGTCCCTCCATGCGGACCGCGTGGAGTTTCTCGACGGCACGGTGTTGAAAGCTCAGGCGGCAGCCGACGCTGGCGACGTGCGCGCCCAGTTCGCCGCGCCCCGTGCCCTCGGCGCGCGCTCGGCCGCCTCCAACTCGGAGGTGTTCCGACTCGACGGCGCTCTCACCCAGAACGCCTCCGAGGAGACCGCGCGCTGGGAGGGGCACTTCGGCGACGTTTCAAGGGGGAGCTCGCCGCCCTTCACGACGCGCGGCAACCGGTGCAGCCCGCCCACGGCGACCCGTTGCTGCTGGGCGTCGGGCCCGACGAAACAGCCGCGGCCTACCGCGCAGTTGGCTGCGAAGGGGGCGTTGGCATCGACGGCGCCCCTGCCGAGATCTTGGTGGCTGGAGGGGGCCCCGCTGCAACCTTGTGCGCGTCCGTCAACGTGAGTATACTGCGCAATTGCTAGTGGCCCCCGCAGTGGCGCGGCGGCCATCTCCAGCGCATCCACAAGCAGCAGGGTGACAGCAGGATCTGCGACGACCACCGCGGCGTCCTCCTAGCGGATCACGCTGGGAAAGGCTTGGCAGGCATCTTCAAGGACGTGTTGGAACCCGCCGTCAACGAACGCCTGCCAGACGCGCAATTCGGAGCAGATGCCGCGCGAGGGGCGGACTTTGCAACGCACGTGGTCTTCGCTACCATCGCCTTGGCCCAGTCGCGGCAGGCGCTGGTGTTCCTTCTGTCTGTTGACTCGACAAAAGCGTTCGGCAAAGTTATCCAGCCACTTGTCATGGGCTGGGGCAGCGTGGATCATGATCACCGCGAGCGCTGCCTCCAACAGCTCGGGGTTGCACCGCGTGCGGCTCGGTGATTGCGCGCGTGCATTGAGGGGCGCGGCGGCCTTATGCTGCGGCAGTGGGGGGCCAATCGTACGGCGGCGGGAGTGGCTTGCACGCTGCGCGACCATTCTGAGTTCCAAGTGCCCGGGGGAGAGCGCGTCGTCGCCTTTCGCGCGGGCGGGCGGCAAGGATGTGAGCTCGGAGCCCTCGTCTGCAATGCTGCCTGCGCCGCAGCATTGGACATGCTCCGTAGGCGATTGCGCCGCGAGGGCCTGGCCCTGCGCATCCCGCAGGCCCTAGGCACCTTATGGGGGCCTGCTGCTGCCGTCGACGCGTCTGTGTGCGAGATCGTGGACGCCGCTCTCGTCGACGACGGTCGTGTTTCCTCTGTCCGAGCCCCCCCGCGCGCTGGCGCGTGCTATCGACGTATTACTCGGGATCCTGACTAGCACTTTCGGCGATTCCCACTTGGAGATGAACTAGAGCAGGGGCAAGACCGAAGGCCGTGTCGCCCTCCGGGGCAGGCGCTCGGTGGACGTCCGCGAGCGATGGCGGCAAGCGGACGGCGGCCTGGCCATTCCGGTCTCGAAGTCTGACCAGCTGCTTCGCGTGGGCGAAGAGTGCAAGCACCTCGGTGCATGGGTGTCCGCGCGCGGCGTTTCAGTCCGCAATGCCGCTCATAGGTCGCAGTCTGCGATGACGGCGCGCGCCCCCGTCCCCCGCGAGTTTTTTTTTTTTGCTCGCCGCTGATGGGCGACAGGTGCAATATTACCTTCTTGCGTAGCCTCGTCCTCTCCCGCCTCACCTTCAAGGCGCTTCGCCGCTTATCAGGGGTTGACGTGAGAGCGCTTCTGCGCTTTGTTGGTGACCCTCGCTTCTCGAAAGACGTGGCCATGACCGACCGAGAGGTCTGGGGAAAGATTGGTCAGCCCTCGCTCGATTGCATGCTGATGGTGGCGCGCATGAGGTATTTTGGCAGGCTGGCCCGGAATCGACCGCCATCCCTCCTGGCCTTGCTGCAGGCTGTCACTGGGGAGCCAGAACTACCGTGGTTGGCGACAATCCGGATCGACGTCGAGCGGGTGCGCGCGCTTGGCCTCGCCTCGCGTGTGGTCTGCCTTCTTTGCGGGGCGGTTCGCAAGCGTGGCTTGGCCTACTCCGGGGCGCCGCCAAGTGGACCTCCGTCTTCGACAGGGTCCATTCCCCTGAATCTTGTTTGGACAGGGCCGCCCTGACAGGACGCTCCGAGCCTAGTGTCCAGTGCGGATTGGGCCACCAGTGCCCGGTCTGCCCGGCGCGCTTCCCGTCAGAACGCGCTTTGGCCGAACGTTGTCGGGCCAAGCATGGGATTGGTTAGCCGTTAAACGACGCATTGATGGTTCCCGCGTGTGCCCCGCTCGCGGCACAAGTTGTCGCGCGCGATTGCGATGCGTCGCGCATTTGTCCGATAAGCGGCGCCCCACTTGCACTGCCTGGGTGCTGGCTAATGCCCCCCCGTTACCTGCCGCTGTGCTGGCAGCAGTGAACGAGCAAGATCGGGCGGCCAAGCGCGAGGCTTGGGCCCTGGGGCACACGCACTCTTTGGCTCGAGGAGCGGCGGTCACCCGCGACGGCAAAAGCATCGGACACTGCCGGTAGTGTATCACCTTCTCTCCAGCGCTCCTCGGCGCGATGAGCGTGTTGCGCTGGGGCGTCGTGTGTAGCCAGTACTCTGACGCATTTGCTGTGATCGTTTTTCTTTTGTGCAGCAAATTTCCAAATCTGTCGTGACGGCGCAGTGGCTTTTACACCGCGTTACACACGTGGCATTCACGTCGCCTGACGTTCGTGTTTTATGCTGGCAGGTCCCTGACGTCGCTCTCACGGGTTGTGCTTCGTCTTGCTCCTGCCTTCCTTCCTCCCCTCCGCAGCTGCCGTGCTATGTTGTATAATTTCTTCTGCAGTGCTGTGCGTTTGCAGGTGCCCTCCGCTCCCTGAGCAACAAAAAGTGCAGTCCAGGAGTCCAAGTGCGTCGCTCGGGGATCGGTCCTGCGGCTGCTCATGAGTTCATGGTCCAATTCGAAACTTCGATGTACACCCCCAGACCTCCGAGGACCCCCCAACACCTCCAGGACCCTCAAAGCCTCCCACTGTAATCAAGTGGCTGCTTTCGTGCGTTGGAGCCTCTTCCTCGTTTGCCTCTCCTCCTGTCCTTGGGTCTCATCGGAGCTTGCGTTGGCGCTGGTTGTCGGGGGAAGAGGGGGCCTGACTGGCGTGCCCATTGCCAATCGAGGAGGAGGTCGATGATGATGAGGAGGAGGAGGAAGAGGAGAAGAGGAGGAGGGGGAGGAGGAGGAGGAGGAGGAGGAGGAGGAGGAGGAGGAGGAGGAGGAGGAGGAGGAGGAGGAGGATGATGAGGAGGAGGAGGAGGAAGAGGAGGAGGAAGAGGAGGAGGAGGAGGAAGAGGAGGAGGAGGAGGAGGAAACGGGACGTTCCAGGGCGCTCCTGGGGTTTCCCCTCCCCTCCCTCTCCTCTTCCCTCCCCGTCCTCGCTCCTCTGCCAGACGCTGGCTCCAGCCATCTTGGCCCCGCCTTGCTCTGGCACCTCTCGGGCTCGCCGCTCCTGCCGTGCAGACGGGCCGTCGCGATGTTCCGCGTGGTGCCGGCGGCCGTGCTGCGGCCCCTCCTCGGCGTCGCCGCCTACAGCGTGTGGTACGCCTGCGTGGCCCTGCACGGGCTGCTGAGGCTGTTCGCGCCGCTGCTGCGGCCTCGGGCGAGGGGCCCGCACGCGGGCAAGACCGTGCTCGTGACGACGGGCCGCCAGGCCAAGACGCTGCACGGCGTGAGGGCGCTGAAGGAGATCGGCTGCCGCGTCATCGTGTCGGACTACCAGGAGATGAGCGCCAGCGCCGTCTCCACCTCGTGCGACGGTGCGGCGACCCTGGCTCCGCTGGACCCCCGGGGCCTGGGGAAGTGGGTGGACCATCTGGAGCAGATCATCTCCGCAGGAGGCACCCGTGTGTGCCATCATCGTGCCGGGCCAGGGCCAGCCCCTGGGCGCTGGCACCGTGCACGATGGCGTCCTCCTGGCCGAGGCCAGGAGGGTCCACGCACCGTGCCAGGGCCCGGGATGGGGGCTCTGGCCGGGCATGGCGGTGGTGACCTGTTGCCTCTCTGCGGATGGTCCGGAGGGAGAAGGTAGACCTGGTGCTGCCCATGTCCACCATCAACGAGGCCCTCTTCATCGGCGTCGCGAAGGACTGGCTCCAGGCGAGGCTGCCCGACGTCCAGTTTGCCTGCGAGGGCCTGGAGATGATGACCCGGCTGGACAACAAGGCGCAGTTCGACCAGATGTGCCGCGAGTGTGGCGTGCCCGTGCCCGAGGCTGGCGTTGCCACCAGCAGAGAGGATCTGGAGAACGGGTCCATTCCGTTCGGGGAGATGGACGTCATCATCAAGCGGATCGAGTCGAGCATCAACCGGGAGGAGGAGATCAAGCTAGTTCGCAGGGGGGAGAAGGTGCCCGAATCGGTGCAGCCCACGCCGTCGGATCCGTGGCAGTGGCAGCGCTTCATCCGTGGCACCGAGTACTCCGCGTGGTTCGTGGCAGTGGACGGCAAGATCACCTTCCAGGGCTGCTACCGTTCGGAGAGCGACCTCCTGTTCTTCGATGGCATCCCCGTGCCCGAGGACGTCGAGAAGGCGATCGCGGGACTCATCGCCAAGCACAAGCTCACAGGCCAGTACGCCTTTGACTACTTCCGCGAGGACTCCACGGGCAAGTTCTTTGTGATCGAGTGCAACCCTCGCGCCTCCTCTGTGCTGGAGGGCGTGTCCGGGACTCCGGGCTGGGGCGCCAGCTTCTTCGGCGACGACGTTCGCCCAGCCACGCAGTACCAGAAGGTGGGCTTCTGGTTCCACCAGAACTGCTGGCCGTTCGTGGCGGATCGCACCGAGGGGTTCTGGGCCTGGTCCGACCCTCTGCCCGTCCTCGTGGCGGAGCTCGCCTGGCCGCTGGAGATGCTGCGCATCAAGGGCGCGCTCCGCGGGGGCGCGCTGCCCAGGGATCCCAAGGGCATTCCGATCGAGGCCGGGGAGCCGCTGACCGCGAGGTTCCCCGCGGCCTTCGAGGCCCTGGGTCTGAACTATCACCACCTCGACGTGAACATCGGCAAGGTCATCGTGCCCGGGCCAACCGTGGGCCGCGACTACGCGTACTTCGAGGAGATCGCGCGGGACACGCGCGCGTCCTTCCTGCGGGCGCAGGTCCGCGAGCGCGGCGCGTCCCCCAGCGTGCTGTGCGCCAGTGCAGAGGTGGCCCGCGCGCTGGTGGGCATGGACGGGTGCGCGCCGAAAGTCACACGGCTCGTGCAGGACCCGATGGAGATGATGCAGGCGGCAGGGGCTGCGTCAGGGGGGGATAGGCTCAGACGGGAATGCGTCGACCCCCCAATCGCCCATGCAGCGCCGACAGGGGGCCCTCCTAGCCCACCCCACTCGGGAACGTGCGGATGCGCTGTCGAGGGCCTAACGCAAATCTGTCGGCGAGCCCACCCCACTCGGGAACGTGCGGATGCGCTGTCGAGGGCCTAACGCAAATCTGTCGGCGCTGTAACGCCGACCGATTCCAGGCCCATGCTCCCCCCCTGAGCCGGTCCCCCCCTCTCGAAGCGTTGCCCCCCCTTGAGGCGGCGCGGGAGAACCAGTGCCTCAAGGAGAGCCTGATCCTGGGGAGCCCCAGGTCGACGCTGCGCAACCTCGCGCAGCAGCACAAGGCCTTCGACGCCATCTTCCTCCACGAGGCAGGGCCGCCCACGATCCGCTTCGATGCGATGTTCGATTCTCTGGCTGGGGCCGCGATGCCAATCCGATGCGATCCGGCTTTAGTCACCGGCATCGGCCAGGGCCAGCCGGCAGCGGGGCGCGGCGATTCGATCCCGATCCGATTCGGGACGATATCGCTGGCGACTCGACCTCCGCCCTCGCTCCGATCCGATCTCGTGATCCGATGCAGCGCAGACCTGCGAGGAGCTGCTCGCAGCCGTGCCCTCCTCCCTCGTGGTGCCCGGCGGCCGCGTCCTCTCGCTGGAGGCCCTGCCCGCGGGCCGCAAGGCGTGCTGAGGGGGCAGCGCGCGCTGCGCCCCGTGCGCCTGCCAGCCTCGGGAGCCCCTCGAGGGCCCCTGCCGCGCGCGCCTCGCCGTCGCCCCGTCCGCGCGCCCTCGCAGCGTCCCCTGGGGGCAACGAGAGGGGGGGCAGGCACAGGGGGCATGCGCTCGACCTCCAATCGCCCACCGATCGCCGACAGGGGCCCGACAGCCCCAACCTGCAAAGGAAGGTGCGGATTCACTGTCGGGGGCCTATCGCCGATCTATCGGCGATGTATCGCCGGTTCCAGGTCGATGCACCCCCCCGTATGCCAGTCCCCCCACTTTTGTTGCCCCTCATGTCCCCGCTTCCCTCGAAGAAGACAAAACGCCACAGACAGAAACTTTCGGCGCTCCGTGCGGATTCCTGGGAGCCGCGCCGGGCCCCCTCCCTGGCGGTGCCGCCGGCGCCGCCCCTGGCGCGCTCAGATGGGGTCGGAGCAGATGGGGTCGGAGCAGATGGGATCGGAAGATCGCGCCGCATCGCCGATGCATCGCCGATGCATCGCGGATGCGGCTCGATGCGGAGCCCGATCGGCTTCACGTCGACGTCGCCGATGTATCGCCGACGTCGACGATACGTCGCCGGTGCATCGCCAATACATTGCCGATGCATCGCCGGTGTATCGGCGATGCGGCGCGATCCTCCGACTCCATCTGCTCCGCCCCCATCTAGGAGACCTCTAGCCAGTGAAGGGGGTCCCAGCGCAGATCCAAGACACCCGCGCGGAGCGCCAAAAGTTTATGTTTACGTTTTCTTTTTTCCCCCCCATTCCTTATTCCCCCGCCTCCGCGCCTCCCTATAACGCCCTCCGCGCCCCGTCCCCGCTTCCCTCCCCGGTGCCCTCCCCTCGTCCCCGTCCGAGAGGTCCGTCGTGCGTCGTGCGCCAGCGGGTCGTCGTCCCTTTCTCGGACCATCCCTGCCGCATGGGGCTGCTCCTCCGCC